GTTCGTAAATTTTGGTATTTTCGAATTTGTAAAATGTTTTGAAAATATATTTAATCAACGTTCGCCTCCCATTTTTGGGGGGGTAGGTCAAAGTTTCAGAAAGATCCTATGGTTAGATTCTGAGAAATCTGATTTGCAGAATAATAATAATAATCTTAACAGAAACAATAAGCTTTCATATGAAATAATAAGAACTATATCTGCGAAGCAGATATTAAAGCTTTCATATTCACAATCACTTCCTGTCACATGTCATGGGTCATATAAAGAATCTGAACAAGATAAAAAAAATCATTAAAATGGATTTTTCACGTTTCAAGGTGGTGGTACATCCGGTTCAATCGGTTCAAGAAGTTGTCAAGTTGGTCTCAACTTCCGGTTCGAAATCACAGCGACGAATTTTTCAATAAACAACATAATTTGTACATGAATAACGAATTATATGCGAATTTATGTTGTGATGTCATTCTGTATACATGTAGAATTTTTATACGCCCACTTTTTCATATGGACGTATATTGTCGTCGCTCCTGTTTGTCCGTCCGTCCACAATTTGTTTGTGGACACTCTACAGGTCACAATTTTTATCCGATTTCAATGAAACTTGAAATATAGGTTTATCTCACTAAGATCTCGGTTCCTTTCAATATTGGCATGTATCGGACCATAACTTCATGAATTATGGCCCCTGATTGTACGAAAAATCGTCTTTTTAGCTTGTGGACCCTCTAGAGGTCACAATTTTTATCCGATTTTGATGAAACTTGATGTGCATGTTTATAACCCAAGGATCTTGGTTCCTTTCGATATTCGCGCATATCTGATCGTAACTTCCTGAATTATGGCCCCTGATTGTACGAAAAATCACGTTTTTGGCTTGTGGTCCCTCCAGAGGTCACAATTTTTATCCGATTTAAAAAAACGTATTAATATATCACCGTTACACCGTAATGAAGGATGAGTTCGAATTTCGGGAAAATTGGACCAAAACTGAGGGACAAAATGGCTGCCGCTTGTACGCGAATAGTGTAAAAATATGGTATATCAAGGTTGTGGACCCCGTAGAGGTCACAATTTTAATCCGATTTTGATGAAACTTAAAATGCATGTTTATAACCTGATGATCTTGGTTCCTTTCCATATTTGCGCATATTGAATCGTAACTTCCTGAATTATGGCCCCTGATTGTACGAAAAATCACCTTTTTTTAGCTTGTGGTTCCTCTGGAGGTAACAATTATTATCCGATTTAAAAAAACGTTTGATTATATCACCTTACATCGTAATGAAGGTTGAGTTCGAATGTCAGGAAAATCGGACCAAAACTGCCGGACAAAATGGCAGCCGCTTGTACGCGAATAGTGTAAAAATATGGTATATCAAGGATGTGGACCATGTAGAGGTCACAATTTTGATCCGATTCGATTTTGATGAAACTTGATGTGCATGTTTATAATCTTGGTTCCTTACAATATTTGTGCATATCGGATTGTAACTTCCTGAATTATGGCCCCTCATTGTACGAAAAATCGCCTTTTTTCGCTTGTGGTCCCTCTGAAGGTCACAATTATTATCTGATTTCAAAAAACGTTTGATTATATCACAGTTACACCGTAATGAAGGTTCAGTTCGAATTTCGTAAAAATCGGACCAAATAGTGTAAATATCTGGTATATCAAGGTTGTGGACCTTCTGAAGGTCACAATTTTGAGCCGATTTTGATGAAACTTGAAATGCATGTTTATAAACAAAGATCTTGGTTGTTTTTGATATTCGCGCATATTGGATCGAAACTTCATGAATTATGGCCCCTGATTGTACAAAAAATCTCATATTTAGCTTGTGGACACTCTAGAGGTTACAATTTTGATCCGATTTTGATCAAACTTGAAATGCATGTTTATAACCCAAAGATCTTGGTTCCTTTCGATATTTGCACATATTGGATCGAAACTTCCTGGATTATGGTCCCTGGTTGGTCGAAAAATCACATTTTTAGCTTGTGAATTCTCTAGAGGTCACATTTTTTTTTTCGATTTTAAAAAACGTTTAGATCACTGTTCCACCATAATGAAGGTTGAATTGGAATTTTGGGAAAATCGAAATGAAACTGCCGACAAAATGGCTGTTCTTTGTATGCAAATTGTATATATAAGTATGTAATTCTAAGGTTATGGACCTTCTAGAGGTCACAATTTTTATCCGATTTTGATGGAACTTAAAACATATCTTTATATTCCAAAAATCTCAGTCCCTTTTTATATTTGCGCATTTCAGACCATAACTTTCTGGATTATGACCCCTGATTGTACAAAAACTTGTTTTTGTTTTTAGCTTATTTGCTATCCATCTCTTGCAAAATGTGGGCGTGTCCTGCCTGGCAGCCGCTGGTTTTTCATTTATTTGACATTTGACAATAAAATGATAGCATTCCATAACAAAACTAAGGTGTAAAAGGAAACTCGATCAACTTCGTTTGGGAGACAGAATTGCCACCGCTCGCCATATCTTTGTTGCTTATGACCTGAACAATAATTAGTAAAGTGTAGTTATTTCCTGTTCAGACATTTCTTCGCAAATTCCATGATAAAATAATAAAGGGAAAGTACGTGTTTGACTTAGAAACAGAGAAGACGAAAGAAATGAAGAGTTAAAATAAGCGGCAAAACTGAATTTTACGTGAAACCATTGGCTCTCATCATGATATAAGCGGCTGACATTTCTCACCGGTGGCGTCTCGCGTGAAAAAACAAAACGTGTGTGTTTTATTATGACTATTCTGTTTAATTACAGTTCCAGGCCCAAGCACGCATTGCAAAGAATACAGTGATAAGGATTATTTTCAAGGACCTCTTCTTACAAGTGAAGTACCTATAATTGCGCAATAATCGATATTTTAAAACTGTATCGATAATCGATTTTCAAAACGCTTACCGACGATTATCAGCAATATCAATATTTTCCGCCAGCCCTACATGTAGGTATTTTACTACCTACTTTTCTTCAACTTGTCTAATGAAAAGGGGCATATGCCATACAGTGTGCTAATAAGGGAAATTTAACCTGGAAATTGTGCCTACTCGTCATCAAATTCCAACTGTCGAGGATTCTTTTACGTGTAAAAGAGACCCAGGTTTTTAGCTCCATTCAAATGACTAGATGCTGTTCCTTGCCAGTCCCTCCATTCTGAACAAGTGGAAACTATGCTGAAAAATCCAGAGAAACTTAATCGGCCAACACCGGAACTAAACCTAGGACGTGGTTATTGAGCCAGCGCCTTACTTACTAAGCCACATTGGATGCCCATAAACCAATCAAATCATCATTATGAAACGTTTTACATACATTAACTGATAGTAATTCTGCATTTTGCTAATTAGAAATTTTTCAGTTGGACAACTTCTTAGCTTAGTTTCCATGGAAATAAAGTTTACTTAGTTCTTGATACACAGTTATTATTCCATGGCATCGACCTATTTTTAGTTGGATAAAAATTTGACTTACCTTTTCTTTGGTAGGCAATAATTATTCCACAGCACATCTCAGAAACCATTCAAGATCTCTTTATGACATACATTTAGAACGGAGCATATAACTTTTCATTCTTGATACTTTGATATTGAAATTCAAAAAACAAAAAACAGTGGTGGTAGATTGTAATGGAACTTAATTGGGTTATGTCCTATATAACCAGGTAGCATGATTTGAATGCTGTATACTATTGCTGAGGGTTTATGTTTCATTAGTATTTGCCATACATCTTAATATTATAACATGTACACTACTAGTATTTGGTTATGGTGAGAGTAACCTCATTGCAACATTGCTGTTAATAAACATAATGAATGCTGTATTATTATATATAATTCTTTCAATAAATTCTCTTTAATCTAGTATTTGGTTGTTGATTACCAAATGTAATCATAAATTTGAAGACCCCGAACACTATTTACTCGTATCTCCCTTAAATTCAGATGCAAGAAAACAGACAATCGACAACCTTCAACACAACCATAAAACAATCAATTGTCTGTTGTATGGGTCAACAAAACTTAGTCCAGAGATAAACACACTTATTTTTCAAGAAGTTCAACAATTTATTCTTTTATCAAAAAGATTTAATTCTCCATAAAACAACTTAAGTTATTTCCAGCTCTCCATATCGTACACTTGCCTAATATCCTCGCCTCTCTCAACTGGTTTGTGAGATTTGGAGATATTGGACGATTGTACATTGTACAGGCCTTACCATACCCAACTTAACATTACCAAGCAGTACTTGTAAAAAAGATTTTCACCAATATTTCCACTAAAATAATTTTTATCCGATTTAAAAAAACGTATTGTTATATCACCGTTACACCCTAAGCACGACTGAGTCCGAATTTCGTGAAAATCGGCCCAAAATTGACAGACAAAATGGCTGCTGTTCGTTCTCAACTACCGTAAAAATATGGTATATCAAGGTTGTGGACCCTATAGAGGTCACAATTTTTATCCTATTTTAATGAAACTTGAAATGTAAGTTTATAACCCAAAGATCTCGGTTCCTTTCGATATTCGCGCATATCGGTACGTAACTTCCTGAATCATGGCCCCTGATTGTACGAAAAATCACTTTCTTTTTAGCTTGTTCTCTATCCATCTCTCGAAAATATGGGCGTATCCTGCCTGGCAGCCGCTGGTTATAAAACAAAATAAAAAACAACAAATAAAAGAGTCTCTATATTATCTATTATGTATCTTATATGTTCTATATTTATGTAATTATGTATGTATGTTATAATGTGTACATGTATCTAAATCAGAGAGAGGGGTTACACATAGGCACAGCCTGTTCCCCAATCCAAATTCAGATTTAATGAATAAAAATATTGTTTAGAAAAAAAAAACCAAAATCCAAAATATGTCAAAGGAAGTGGGGTGTTGATGATTGAGTTCTTATATTTTATAATGATAATTATCTTATTACATAATTATTGTTTTTTTTGTTTTTTTCAGATTCTACAGATATTGTGGATTGTAAATTGAAGCTGATCTTGGGTTTAATATGGACCCTCATTTTACATTACTCAATTTCTATGCCAGCCTGGGAAGGAGAGGAACTAACACCATCAGATGGTGCTCCCACACCAAAACAACGTCTGCTCAACTGGATTCAGACAAAATGTCCTGATCTACCAATCAAAAACTTCACAACTGACTGGAATGACGGCCGAGCTATTGGTGCACTTGTTGATGCTGTTGGACCAGGTACAACTGATATATTTTTACTGGCCACTTTAAATGTGCCTACATGTACATTGTATAATGCAGCAATCGGTTTCTGTCCTTTGGGTTATAAGCATTGTTTACTTTCATTAGAAGAAGGTTGCTATTTCATTTTTTAAATTGACCATTTCTATCTTAAGGTATGGCTTTTTATAAGCCCACAATTTCATGTGGACATATTATGCCGTAGCCCCCGTCCATCCGTCCGTGGGTCCACAATTTGTTGTGGACACTCTACAGATCACAATTTTTATTTGATTTTAACGAAATTTGAAATACAGGTCTGTCTCCTAAAGATCTCAATTTTCATCTCATTTTGATGAAACTTGAAATGCATGTCACAATTATTATCCGATTTAAAAAAACCATTTGATAATATCACCGTTACCCGTGATGTTGGTTGAGTTTGAATTTCGTGAAAATCAGACTGAAACTACCTGATTTATGGAACTTGATTTCATGGAAAATCGCGTTTTTAGATTGTGGTCCCTCTAGAGGTCAGAATTTTTATCCGAATATATCACCGTTACACCATAATGAAGGTTGAGTTGGCATTTCATGAAAATCGGACCAAAACTGCCCAACAAATTGGACGCTCCTTGTACGCAAATTGTGTACAAGTATGTAATACGAAGGTTGTGACTCTCTAAAGGTCACAATTTTTGTCTGATTTTGATGAAACTTAAAATATATCTTTATATCTCAAAGATCTCAATCTCTTTCGATATTCGCCCCTGATTGTACGAAAAATTGTGGGTTTTTTTTGGTTTCTTTTAGCTTGTTATCTATCCAGCTTTTGCAAAATGTGGGCGTATCTTGCCTGGCAGCCCCTGGTTGAAGTTTACATGAATATTAGTGTTATTCATAAAACAACCTTTTACAATTTTCAGTCAATATGTATATTATTACCTTTAGGTTTGTGCCCAGACTGGGAAGACTGGGATCCTAAAAAGAACAAGGATAATGCCAAAGAAGCCATGGGAGCTGCTGAAAAATGGTTAGATGTACCACAGGTATTATATTTATCATTAAAACCATCTTATAACACATTCTAACTACAGTTCGTCCCCAATTTTTATACGCCCACTTCATGTGAACGTATATTGTCGTCGCCCCTGTCCGTTCGTCCGTCCGGACGCCCGTCTGTCCACAATTTGGTTGTGGACACTCTACAGGTGACAATTTTGATCTGATTTTGACGAAACTTGAAATATAGGTCTATCTCCCAAATGTCTCTGTTCCTTTCGATATTGGCATATAACTTACCATAACTTCATGGATTATGTCCCCTGATTTATGAAAAGTAACGTTTATATCTTGTGGACCCTCTAGAGATCACAATTTTGATGCGAATTTGATGAAACCTGAAATGCATGTTTATAACCCAAAGATCTTGGTTCCTTTCGATATTCCCGCATATCAGATAGTAACTTCCTGAATTATGGCCCCTGATTGCACGAAAAATCGTGTTTTTAGCTTGTGGTCCCTGATTTAAAAAAACGTTTGAATATATTACCGTTACACTCTAATGATGGTTGAGTTCGAATTTCGTGAAAATAAGACCAAAACTGCCGGAAAAATTGGCCACTCCTCGTACGCAAATAGTGTTATATCAAGGTTGTGGACCCTCTAGAGGCCACAATTTTAGCTTGTTCTCTATCCATCTCTCGCAAAATGTGGGCATATCCTGTCTGGCAGCCGCTGGTTGTATTTATTGTCTACAGGCTGCAATTCTGAATGGATCATCTTGGAACTTTGCATATTTGTTCCTTATACCGTAAAGACAGCAACTATTTATTTTAGTGCATGCCCCGACCCCCTGGGGCGGTGTCACACCCACTTTTTTGTTCATATTTTGTCTGTAAATTTAGCAAAACAAACCAAATGCTTGTAGTCTTCTTTGCCTCTTGTCATATTACAGCTATTTTATATTTCATTCTCTTCATTTTTATACGCCCACATTTTCATGTGGACGTATTATGCCGTCGCCCCTGTCCGTACGAACGTCCGTCCACAATTGTTTGTGGACTCTCTACAGGTCACAATTCTTATCCGATTTTGACGAAACTTGATATACAGGTTTTTAACTTGTGGACCCTATAGAGGTCACAATTTTTATCCGATTTTTTTTAAACTTGAAATGTAAGTTTATAACCCAAAGATCTCGGTTCCTTTCGATATTCGCGCATATCGGACCGTAAATTCCTGAATTATGGCCCCTGATTGTAAGAAAAATCGCGTTTTTAGCTTGTGGACCCTATAGAGGTCATAATTTTTATCCGATTTAAAAAACCCTATTATTATATCACCGTTACACCCTAAGGGAGGTTGAGTTCGAATTTCATGAAAATCGGCCCAAAATTGACAGACAAAATGGCCGCTGTTCGTTCTCAAATAGCGTAAAAAATATGGTATATCAAGGTTGTGGACCATATAGAGGTCACAATTTTTATCTGATTTTGTTGAAAATTGAAATGTAAGTTTATAACCCAAAGATCTCGGTTCCTTTCGATATTCACGCATATCGGACCGTAACTTCCTGAATTATGGCACCTGATTGTACGAAAAATCTCGTTTTTAGCTTGTGGACCCTATAGAGGTCATAATTTTTATCTGATTTAAAAAAACCCTATTATTATATCACCGTTACACCCTAAGGAAGGTTGAGTTCGAATTTCGTGAAAATCGGCCCAAAATTGACAGACAAAATGGCCGCCGTTCGTTCTCAAATAGCGTAAAAATATGGTATATCAAGGTTGTGGACCCTATAGAGGTCACAATTTTTATCTGATTTTGTTGAAACTTGAAATGTGAGTTTATAACACAAAGATCTCGGTCCCTTTCGATATTTGCGCATATCGAATTGTAATTTCCTGAATTATGGCCCTTGATTGTAGGAAAAATCACTTTCTTTTTAGCTTGTTCTCTATCCATCTCTCGAAAATGTGGGCGTATCCTGCCTGACAGCCGCTGGTAAAAAGTACCATATCGATCAAAGTAGGAATGTGGACGTATATTGCAGCGTTAGCGATGCTCTCGTTAGTTAATAAAGCACTATGCAACGCGTTACAGTCCTACAATTTTCACTAAACTATGAAATAATTCAGTTTGTGTTAAATTATATTTACTCTTTATTACTATGAAAAAAGATGTTTTTATAGAGAATAGCTTGTACTTATTATATATTTATTATATTATTTATTAATTTGTATATTATTGAAATTCTGGAAATGGTATAATATAGAAATCCATATTATATGTATTTTTATACGCCCACATTGGAAATGTGGTCGTATATTGCCGTCGCCCCCGTCCGTCCGTCGTCCACAATTTCTTGTGAACACTCTACAGACTACATTTATTATCTGATTGTTTTGAAATTGATATATGTTGTTGATATTGGTGAGATGAAGAAGCCTATTGATTTTCAGCGATTTCCGATAATTACTGTCAGAGTTATGGCCTTTGTTTCACTTTGTTGCACCTTGTGAACGCTCTAACGACAAAAGTTATCGACCGATCTGTATGAAATTTATAGGCATCATTTAAATTAGTAAAACAAAGACGCCTATTGAATTTCAGCAATTTCCGTTTATTACATTTAGAGTAATGGACCTTGTTTCACTTTGTTAAATCTTGTGAACGCTCTAATGACAACAGTTATCATCCAATCTATTTGAAATTGATATGCATCATTTAGATTAGTGAAACGAAGAAGCCTATTGAATTTCAGATAAATTTCCGTTAATTCACTTTGTTGTACCTTGTGAACGACAAAAGTTATTATCCGATCTGTATGAAATTTATACGATTTACCTGCTGTGGGCGTATGTTTTGTTGCCTGGCAACCTATCTTTTTTGTACATTTAATCTTTTTCACTAATATTATTTAAATCATTTTGTTGAAGTGTCACAAACTTGTTACAGACTATACTTTAAACCCCCTTTGTTGATTAATTAGTCATGACCTGGTGGACCTAGACTCAAACAATAGATGTGGGGAAAGTGAGGTGTCCACATAGAAGACGATTACATTGTATTAATTAACTTTATTGGTCAGTCTTATAGAATGAAATGGCTTCCTGCAGATTTATCAAAATCCTTTGTTAGCTTGGTAGTTTAGAAGTATTAGCATTTGTTTTATATAACATAAATCAGAGTAATTAGAATCAAAGAACATTTGCCGATAATTTGTACTTGTATTAATTTTAAAATACATATGCGTCATAATACATTATTGTCATATACCGGTAATGGTCAAGATTTGTTAAATATATTTTGCAAAGTATCACAGCGTAAGAATATAGTCCCGTGTTGACAGAAACAACTCAATGATTGGCATGTTTTTTGACCATGTGACTCACCGTTTTGCGCATTGTGGAGTGTTTCTTTCATAATGTATGGCCAGTGCTTCATGGATTGTTAATTTAGATTGCCTGAATCTGCGATTAATGAAGTAGTGTCTAAAAGGGTCATACCATGTCAATGGTGGGAACATGACCCCCTCCAAAAAAATTATAAAAAACATACGTTATAGTATATGGCCTTAAACTAAGAAATCCAAAATTTTACCTCTCTAGGTTGAAAATTTGCTGAGATATGGCCATTTGAAATTGGGGTACTGAAACAGATCATAAATTCAGTAATTTTTTTCAGGTTTTCGGATGCCTTGAACTCAGATTTCTAATAGGAGTAGGACTCTTTAACTTCGTAATCGAATACAACTTTTGGTGTAGATTATGAATTTCGCATCACACTCATTGTCCAATGCATACTGTTCACGCCACCAGGTGGCAACATGTGGAACAAATGAACTATTCACTTTTATTTTCAGGATTTCCACAGCCCCTGGCAAAGTCACTATTGTATACACAAACTCAAAAATTGGCATAGTTAAAGATACATTATGTAACTTGTAAGATTTAGATAAAGAGCTAGCCATTTATGCCATAATAGTTCAAAAATATACTCTTCAAAAAATGTAGGTTGTGATATGATAAATAGTCATGGACACTTGACATGCTTTTGGGAGTATGTTCACAAATGAAGAACTTATCGCCCCAATAGCGCCATACACGTGGGAGGGGTTCATTGTCAAATTTGACACTTCAAGGATTACAAGGAAGGGTTGATGAAAACTGCCGCTTGCTGGTATCCCTATCCATGTTTGCTTTCCTATCGGTTCTTGCATTAGATTTCCTTTTTATTGTATCTTTGCTTTAGTGTGTTACGTTTAATTTGATTGGTTGACGTGTTCGTCGACATCAACATCAACTGACAACACTGCAAGAATTGGCCGTGGCTCTGCAAGAGGAGTGGGTCAGATTGCCCCAAATCAGGATTGGGCGGTTGACTAGGAGCATGCCACGGCGAATTGCTGAATGTCTAAGGATTGGTGGAGCAATTACTCATTATTAAGACAAAAATCAAAAACGTCCATTTTCACTTTTGACAGTGTATCTCTTTGCGAATGAAATGGGGCCGTCAGATAAGCCGCTCATATGAACTGTTTATGTTCATGTGTAGGCAATTGGCCTGTTATTAACATACACTGGTTACCTCTTATAAAAACAGCAGTGCATTTCCACAGTTTTGTATTGTTTCTGAATATCCCCTACTTTTTTTATACGCCCACATTGAAATGTGGTCGTATATTGTCTTCGCCCCCCCTCGGCCGGCCGGCGGTCCAGGGTCCACAATTGCTTGTGGACGCTCCATTCTGAACATCTGAGACACGCTACCTGCAGAGAAGTATCTCAGACACAGTCAATAGCCATGATATCTATATCACGTGATCTACACATCACAGGTCATGACATTGACGTCAATGGGTCATGAGGTCAACAACACGTTACATTGTAAACAATAGGTTTATCTTCAGCATTGTTTCCTTTGCACCCATAAAGACTATATAATTCGTCCAGTCCCAACATGTTCTCTCTTCTTCTAATGATTCTTCACAAAAATAACACTACAACTCATAGAATTGACGTCGTCTTCAATGACAGCGTCT